TAAATACAGATTAGTGATATAATATTGAAATAGCAAGCATAATGATCAAAAGATACCTTTATTGATTAAGCAATCTTGAACACAATTGTGGCTGASACACTTTGAACATACATCAGGAGCTATGATAAGGTTGAAATCTAAAGATTTGGAACATTGAGAGGTTGAGAATACAAAAGAGGGTTTTTTGCTCGACATAACATTCTAAGAATTCTAAACGCTAAGAATATATGAAAACTCAAAAATTTGTCGATGATTTCTTTGAAGAGCTTTGATCGGCTTTTATAATTGAAACCGTTGAATGGATGACCGGCATCGTCCAGTTGTCTTGATAATAATTCAATTTGAAACCGGCATCTGTCCTTGAAGTAAAATAATTGAATCAATCGTCCTATTTTGTCGTTGTCTTAATAGATCCAACATATCGAATATAAGGTCTTGACCATTTTTTATAAAGTATGACCRCAATGTCAAATCTTCATAAAGAAAGCATCTTGACCACAACGTCAAATCTATGGCACCACGCCTAGTCAAATTTATGGCACCACGTCTTTGAAATTCAGCAGCATGATTATCATCTTCATGACGTCTTTTGACTGTAACATAAACCTGTATATTTTTTATAAGATAAAAGATTTGAACAAAATGTTATCGGAAATACCAAAGGACGTATTTCACGTGTATTGATAAGATATATTTTGAATAAATACAAAGAATTGCTTACAAAAGCAATACCCAAACACACTCAACACTTTTCTTTAAGGATTAAAAATAATCCTCAAAAGGGTCTTGACTATCTTGAAATAAATTCTGAGAAGCTGGGACTTGAGACGAACTAGCGGGAGAGCTGCTTGATGGAGAGCTCCGACGTCTAAGTTCTTGAARAAGTTGTTTGAGTTCTTCTTTTGATTCAGTTGCTAGAATTTGATCAATTTCATCGTCTTCTTTCTTCTGTTTTGAAGTAGATGTGATTGAGGCTGAAACTCCAAAAGTAATTGAATAATATTCTGAAACTCCTTGAACAGTCATCTTTTGTATTTGATCAGTTGGAAGCTTTTCCCACCATTTTACTTTAGAAATCCTTTGTAGTAGTGGAGGGGAAGAACCGGTTGCATCARTAACTTTGAATGTCCAGGATAAAATCAAAGGTATTTTGAATATTACCGAAAATTGAAGGAGAAACTCAAATTCGGTAATGTCTTGAAYAAATATCTCTTGAAATTTTTTGAATCCTTCCATGACTTTTGGAGGAAGGGTCTGAGGAATATTGCCCAAAAACTTGAACCATTTGACAAACCAACGTGGGTAAGTACAGTCGAAATTCTTATCAAAATATAAAAACCAAGAATGAGTATAACTTCTTAGATATAAGAAATTATACCATGCGTCTTGATAATCATAATAATTATAAGATGGATATTGACTAAAAGTTGACAAGGGTTTGCTAAAAAATAGCTKAGTTCCCCAGTCTTGAGTAGAAAGAACATGAAGAATCTGAACTTWGCTGAAATCTATTTGAGTAGAAGTGGCTTGATTAGATCGATGGACAACTCTAATAGATTTGGATTCTACAAGAATCGATTCATAGTATTCTCTAGTTTTGAAGGAATCACCTATGAATAARRATTCTTTTTGGAAAAGGTAGTCATTGAGTATATGAAATCCTTTGCTGTGAAGGAGAACTTCGTATTCTTCAAGAATCTTGACTGTTTGAGTATGAGGGTTGAGTAAATAAGAACTTAATYTTGAATCAGATTTAGTAGAAGTAGGAGACCTAAGCGGACTACTAGTTTGAACAAAAGGAGATCGCTGAACGGATTTTTGAGGAGTAATAGCAATAGATCTTGAAGTAGAAGGTGAAGTAGAAGTAGAAGGTATAACAGTATTACCACTTGATTTTTGAACTAAAGCTGAATAAAATGGACGAGATTGAGTTTGAGAGAGAGGGGAGAATTTATTTTGAACAGGAGTGACTGGAATAATAGATTGCTCAGTTTGATTAGATTTGAATGGAGAAAGAGTCTGTTTCTTTTGATCAAGGTGTGAATCTTTCTGAGAAGTCATCTTCCCTGTAARAATTCTCGARATAAGAAATCTGGTAAAGAATTGTTTTTTCCTTTGATAAACTCGATTTGAAAATCGAAATTTCCAAGCAAGGCTTGCCATCTTGCAAAGATTTGTTTTGAAATCATATTTTT